ATGGGAAAACTAATTGATTGTGCCGATAAACAAGCTTGAAAATCTTTGCTGTTACTTCATGGACGTTTTCTAGGAGTTTATGTTTTTCAAAATACAAGGTCTTTAACAAAGAATAACGTATACTTATTATCATCGGATTAACACCAAATTTTCACAGCTTTAAGGCGACAGTGAGAGGAACTTGAATGTATCCACACAAACTATTTCATCGATTATTTACCAATGAGTTGTGGTTTGAGTTGGGGGCAATGCGACTAAAACAGTAATTGAAATTCAGCACACTATTTTTTAAAATGCGTTGCTTGAATAAAACTGACCAGACACATTCAATTTACCAGACTATTGAACAACTAGGAAAAGTGAAAAAAATACTTCTTATCGCCAGCATAAATGCGTAATTATTTTACAGAAAAGGTAATTTTTCACTTTTGGTTGAGTAACGCGTCGTAGAATGCAGATACGGGCATGAAAAATACACTTGTGAAAAGCTTGAAGTCTGGCGATTCTAAAAATATATACTTTCCTGGGTCTATTTGTAGTCATTTAGTCACAATTAGAAGATGAAAACAAGTATGCAAATAATAGTCCCGCTACCTTAATACCGGTACAACCTTTGGAAGATATTTCAACAAATAAACATAGGTGAGTATTACGATGTATGTAACAAGAATACGAGACTGTACATGTATCTCAGAAATATAGAAGTATGACCAAAAAGAAAGATTACCAGTATTAGATTATCTTTGATCTGATCATAAAACAAATCATCATACAGATGTATTCCTATAATAAAGTCAGACAGCCATCTTTAATCAGATCACAAAATAAACATCTATTTACATTGTATGACACATGAGCTAAATATCAAAATGGTACATAGGTGTAAAAGATATATATAGTAGTATGACTGAAAAAGAAAAAGGCTGACAGTCAACCATCTTTGTCATCGACATGTATGTCAAAAACATGTCAAGAATACCTTTTCCAAAAAAAATATGGCTGCTATTTTGGATCCCATCATGAAACAAAACAGACATGTAACTGAACATGTACATGTACAATGTATGTAAAAAATTTGATTTCGAACCGACAAAGTAGTCAAAGATTCCACATTTTCAAAAAAACAAAATTGCTGTCGGTCGAACATCTTTGATCCTATTGCGAATGAATCATCATACACACTTATCCTAACATGTACCAAATCTGAACAAAAACTGAGAAAAAATATCCAAGATACCATATTAAAAAAACAACAAAATGGCTGTCGGTCGGACATCTTTGATCTGATTGCGAACGAATCATCATACCGGTACTCATTTATCCTAACATGTACTATATAATGCATGCACCAAAATTGAACAAAAACAGAGAAAAGATGTTCAAGATACCACATTTTAAAACAAGCAGCCTCTCGGCTGAGATAGCTCCGCGTTAGCAATGCACATTTCAATTAAAGAACTGAAGATATCATTAGACAAGCAGCCTATCGGCTGAGATAGCTCCGCTGTTAGCAATGCACATTTCAATTAAAGAACTGAAGACATCATTAGAAAATGAACAATATGTATAGTATCAAAGCAATCGGACTTACAGTTTTTAACAAGAAGTCGAAAATATCACTTTCTACCAAAAATGCCCAAAAAAGTCACCAAAATTAGAGAATTGAAGATATCATCACGAAATGAACAAATCTAAGAGAGTTCTACCCCAGGTACATACACACCAAGTATCAAAGCATTCAGGCTTGTAGTTTTCAAGAAGAAGTCGAACAAGTAAAAAGTTGACACGGACGACAACGGACGACGGACGCAGACGGACAATCACTCATATGATAAGCTCCACTCGACAAAGTCGACACCGGAGCTAAAAACAAAATGGATCGAAGAATTAAACCACTGCATGTGCGCATGTCTTAAATAAAGTATTAGGCACATGCAAAGAATGAAAGCAATTGGCCGATAAGAATCTGAAATGCAATTCTGAACGGACAGCCAGACAGACAGATGGATGGATAGAGACCAAATTATAAGTCCTCGTAGGCCCTATCAAATACACATTGAAACCACGTAACAGTCTTTGCACCACATCATAAAGGTACACATAATACATGTACATCATTATTATTTACTTACATGAAACTTAATTATCCAATGACTGTGTTACATATTATTGTAGTACCATAAAATCTGTATTAGAAGCCGCATCCTTAATAGAAGTCGCAGCCATTCTTTTTAAATAATTGAGAACCAAAAATTCATCATTTCTCATATGTGTAGAAGCTCCATCCTCTCTGTTGCATTGTACCATTTTAATAGAAGCCACTGTTTCTAATACAGATTTTACAGTAAATTTCAGTACATTATTCAACACAGATGACAAAATCTCACCTATGTGCTTTGTATACTAGTATGCCAGTCACTAAATGAGTGGGTAATTTATCAGTTAATAAATCCATGACAAGAATCCGTGATGTCACAAACAGCACTCCACCTTCCAGGTACACAGACGTCCTGAAATTAAAAAAAATTATGTCATAAATGAAATTATTAAAAAAAATATGTCATAAATGAATCCTATATACAATGACAGTGTGAAAAGTGCAGCCAGTGATGATATGACAAAATCTAACAGGTTGGTAAATAATGTTTACCGTAACCCTTTGAGCGTCAAAGTCAACTTTTGTCACCATTCACAAAATAGTTCTATATATTGTCTGTGCATATTAATTAGGTAATTTGCATATCATTAACCTTTTGAGTGCCAAAGTCAAGTTTTGTCACTATTCACCAAATAGTTCTATATATCGTCTGTGCATATTAATTAGGTAATTTGCATATCATTAACCCTTTGAGCACCAAAGTCAACTTTTATTTTGTCACTATTCACGAAATAGTTCTATATACCGTATGTGCATATTAATTAAGTAATTAAGTCATATCATTGACCCTTTGTGCTCCAAAGCAAACTTTTGTCACCATTCACAAAATAGTTCTATATACTGTATGTGCATATTTATTAGGTAATTTGCATATTATTAACCATTTGAGCACCAAAGTCATCTTTGTTCACCATTCACAAAAAAGTTCTATATACCGTCTGTACATATTAATTAGATAATTTGCATATCTATACACAAAAATAGGCAAAATGCTGCACCAAAAATTTGTCAGGAAAAAATGTAGCAATCAAAGAATCAAATGTCTTTGATGAAATACTTGACACTTTAAGCTTGTAAACTACTCATGGTTTTTGAGAAAGCGGTTTATAAATTGTACAACCATGTCCATTGGTTTATTATAAATAATCATAGTGCTATATGTTAAAGTGAAAGTGAAAGAAAATCTGTTGTCAAGGTGTGTTTAATACTGAAAAGTACTGTATTTTGAAAACCAAATAATATTCAAAAATTACTATTTTAGAACAGTTCAATAGAACACAATTGTATGTTAATACAGCAAGCTAGGAATATAGATTTTTCAAACCATAATTTTTGAAATAGTTGACAGTTAAATAAAGTTCATGCTTTTCTCAATACATCCTGTCTGTGATGATAATTATTTATGCATAATTTCAATAAATTACACGTTATGGTACACGTTCTGAGTCGTCACCTGCGCATGCGTCAGATGGCCGGTCATTGTTTACAAATAAGCGTCTACCCATGAGCCTTTGTGTTTTTAGTGTGTGTTGTTATCGGCACTTGGGACCCGATTCCTGTGCGTGCGTAGGTGACGACCCTTTCACTTTAACTGTTTTTGAACTTCAATGACAACAGTTTTGTACCCACAGAAACCACTTGTGACTTTTTAGGGTCATATGGTCTATTTGTGAGAGGAAATTGTGTCTACCTATCATTGGCACTGTATTCATTAGTGATCTGTTTCGGTAAGTTCTGCACATCTAAAGCCGACAACTCCTCAAGAAAATATTCCTAGAAAACAAAGAAATATTTGTTGTTAGAATAAGTGTTTTACGTCAACAATAATTTTTTAAATATTCTTTTAAAAATTTAGCCAATAAGAATTATATTCATTTGGTTCAAAATTAATTAGGAAATTTAAAAAAAAATACATAAAAACTTAGATAGAAAAAATAAAAAGTTTATCTAAATTTTAATTTAAAACTAAAATAATGATTGGAAAAACACTGTTCCCCTGGGTGAAATACATGCACAATAATTATAAAAGAAAGACTGAAAGAAACTCTCTGAAGGTAGATGGTAAAAATATTGTGCAAATTATTTAGTTTTTTCATGTTGAGCTATAAGATTTATTTTCAGGACGATAACGCTGTACCATTTTGTACTTGCTCTGCGTAGGTTTCTCTAAAATTGACCTCTGTACATTTTAAAAATCTATAAATTTATTATTTATATATTAATTAGATATGGTATTACACATTTCAATGTTGAGTTTGTATTCTTCCCAGTGGACCATAAATTAAATATTCACTTTGTGATTTTTTGCTCAAATAAAATATTATATTACTATTATATACTAGTATAAACTATTATATTATGGTATTATACATCTGTCACCGTAACGCCATAAGTTACAGTGTGTCGTAATTTTGCGGTAATTTACGGGATATTTTCATCTTACCATATTAGGAAATGCGAATTCCAAATATGGAATGATTACGCACATAGGCGTCCTCTAATAATAAAAACAAACATGGCTGCCACCAAGGTTTGACCGGATCCCATACAAAGAAGTTCGCTGATTCTCATTTAAACTTTTGGGATTTCGGCATTCCCATGATGTATCCTTGGAAGGAAAAGATGTATAATAATAAGGTTATTATAAATATACCGAAAAGTATGCACTCAGACAGTACACCGTCGCAATGACCTCCGCTGAGCGTTGGTTGATACTCTCACTGTACTGTCTTCGTGCATACTTTTCGATATCCACATAATAACCTCTTTATTATATATCGTATTTGCATACCTCATCAGAAAGAGATGTCTGCAACACCAGTACCAGATTAGCCGGATCACAGTATAGCTTTAGGAAGTTTATAAATACTCTGTCCACACATAGACCCCTAAATAAATAAACATTAAGAGGGTAACTTGGAAGCTTTACATTCAAATCATAATCAGTACAATATCCTAATTTATCTTTCATTAAGTTTTTATGGTACTAAATTAGAACATGACGCAAGAGTTCCGTAAAGTTGTTTGTTGGCAAAACTTAATTGTCAGTAATTTGACCAAAAAACAAATCTGAAATTTACAGTGTTTGCGCGTAACACTGATCAAAGGGAGGAGGATTATGCTGTTTATCGACTAAGTTATTAATGCATTCATTACAATATATCCCATCATGCATTGCTGTTAGAATGCATGATGGGATATGCTAAGAACAACTTACCTAGGAATTATGTAATATTCTAAGTTTGAAATTTACTTGAACACAGTGGTAACATAAAGTAAAATAGTTTTTCTGTAAATTCCAAAGGTATGAATATAATGATTATACAGGAAACACCACAAGAATCCGATGTGCATCTCAGTCTAATTTTAATATAGAATGCTTCACATGAAATATTGCTTTTATATTATAGTCCAAGTTCAATATTCGAACAGAGAATCCCGCATGTGATTCAGCAAATTGGTGACACCCTAAGATGGTGAAAACTTGACATACCAATCGAATCCATGGAACTGCTGTTTGGCTATTGGTAAGTATAAACATATGATGCAGATATTTTGTGAATACAGAAGTTATTGCATTTATTATAGTACACGTTAATGTAAAAATATTTATTTTTACTATTTTGATTTTTTAAACCATTTTACTGGGTTTTATAAAGCTCACATATAACTTGGCTGGGAAACAAGTTGAGTTCTACTTTTATTTTTCAAAAAGGCTCTTGTTTGTGGAGTAAATCAATCCACAGTTACTTGAGGGCTAAAAATCCAAATAAGTTGATCAGTCATTGGCGGATTTAGAGGGGGGCCGACGGGGCCGCGCCCCCTATTTTTAACAACTAACAGGGCAGCGCGCCATCGGCGCTCGCGAACTTTGCCTTCGGTCAACTTATCGCCCCCCCCCCCCTTATTCCAGAATCCTAGATCCGCCCCTGTCAGTACTATCACAGGTATATTACTACCACTCCTACGCGCGTTGCAAACCTCAAGTAGTGTACCATTTTTCGTTTCGAAGGGTTTTATACTAAACTTATTACAAATAACCATACCTAGCTGTGATCAATAAACCATCCTCGTGAAAGGCGTCCAAGAATATTTGATTTTCGTACTCTAATAGCGCCATTTTTGAATGTCAATTGTCAGATTAATCCTCATCGACTCTTCTTCTACTAGTTCAGCGGCGATGTGCTGGTGTTATCGGTAAAAACGTCATCCAGCAACGACCTCGGATTTACAAAGTCCATACTAGCGTCATAACTATCGTTGTTTTGAAATAACTGCATATGTATTCAAGTCTTAATAAGCAACTTAATAACGTGATGAAATGACAACAAATCTACTCAATGTTGTCGAATCAGCTGTATTTACGAAAGCGCCACCACGCGTTATAAATCGTGCCGTTGATGGCGGCATTCAACATTATAGATGATTTATTTACATTTATTTTATTTTTATTATTTTAACTCCTTTATTACATTTTATAAACCAAAATAGATATGTAATTCATTTCATGAGGTTGTAATAGAGAATTATATTATCTTATAGATATTTACATTTGGCTGCATTGTTTGGCGACATTTTCTTATACATTCGATCCTAAAGTATAAATAAACCATAAACCACAATTTTAGGTGTTCAAACAGTTATAAATTCGCATCAATGTCAAAAGTCAATAGCAATAAACAGTTCGTTGGATAATTTGTTGAAGTGTCGATTCGTCGTTTCGCACCAATGATGGTTCGTCCCTGGCAGCGACAGTTGTTTCACTTCAATACATACATACATACATATATTTTGTTTGACATATATAGTAACCCAGAGAGATGAAACAACAGGAGAAGTCACACTGCCATACTTCGCTAGTTATCCACTAACTCCTACCGAAAGCCTTATCAATATATTGCTCTAAACGTTTCCATTTATACCTCTGTGGAAAAGATTTTTAAAATCGTCACGGATCAAAAACCGTTAGTATCGCGTATGAAACGATGGCTAATGGACTTGCAAAAGTACAAATTTATAGTTGAATTATAGGCACATCAAAACCAACAGACTATGCTTCTAGACACCCAGTTAATTCTGATTTTACCGATACATCAGGAGAATACGTCTTGTATGTGACAGAGAACGCTGTACCAAAGGCAACCACACTACAAGACGTTGAGACCGCTACTTCCAATGACCCGACACTACAAGCTGTTATGTCTGCAATTGGATCAGGTAAATGGCACAAAGCTCCACCTAAACTATCACTATCGCTATGAACATGTAAAGGAAGCGCTTACCTGTACTGACACCATAGTACTGAAATCAAATCGCAAAGTAACACCCGCTGCACTGCAAGAGCGAACCCAGTAGACATATCTCACGAAGCTCATCTTGGCATGGTGAAAACAAAAGGTCTCATGGATGAGAAAGTACGGTTCCCGTATATGGACAAAATGGTAGACACCAAAATCAATGCTTACCCTGTCAGATACTAACCCCAGTTTACACCAGAGAACCATTACAAATGTCTGTCTTACCAGGCAATTCATTCGACGAATTTGCACATGCAGAAGGTGAAACGCTACTTGTACTGGTTGACGACTATTCACGATTTCCATTTGTAGAGCAAATATCGTCAACTGCTGCACGTTGTGTCATACCAAGCTCAACTACTTATTCACGATGTTTGGCACACCTGGAATTCTCAAATCTGATAATGGCCCACCGTTCAATGGTGAAAAATTTGCTTCGATACTAGGACTGAGACATCGCAAGGTAACTCCATTTTGGCCTAGAGCCAATGGAGAAGTTGAACGATTTGTTAAAACGTTGAACAAGTCGATCAAAACATCAAAAAACAGAAGGAATAAATTGGAGAAAGAATTGCAAATATTTCTACAAATCTACCGCATAACCCCTCATACTACAACCAATGTATCACCCGCAACCTTGTTTCTGAAACGCATCATACGCAACAAGCTTCCTCAAATAAATGATATCAGAAATCGTACATGAATGATTCACTGCAGCAGCACAAAATCAAGATTCGTGCTTACAACAAATCAAATTTGAAACCATGTAATATAGAGACAGGTGATAGGATATTGGTAAAACGACCATACAACAAAACAAAAGGTTCCAGAGTGTATGAGCCTACGCCAATGACATTAGTGCGAAAGAAAGGCTCTATAATCACTGATGAAAATGATGAACATACAGTCACAAGAAACTCATCATTCTATAAGAAGTTAGATAGATCATTACTTCAAACAAACTCATGATCATGACCCCTCGCTCACTGACCATGAATGACATTACACCCGATCAACAATCTTCAAAGTCTAGCTCCATAAATTCACCATCATTGCAAATAAATATGCCAAAAAACTAACAGCGATGATTCTACAAAACCCGCTCCTATACTTTGCAGATCATCAAGAAATCAAGTTCTACGGAAAATATTTGATTTGTAATCTAGTAACATTCGCTCAGTCGGTTCATAACATTTAAAGTATAACTCAGACTTTTGAACTGTTTCAGTGAAACTCATCATGAATCTTATAGTTTGTCATTATTCGTTATTCTATACAGTGTTCGATTTATTCGTTTACAAAATAATAGTTCGTATATCAGATCAAACTTGTATTGTGAGATTGTTAGTATCTACAAGGAAGGAGATGTAATGTCCTATATCATTAATTATGTATGACCTATGACATCATTATATGTTACTATAGTGATGACTGCATAGCATTGTGGGATACTTGAACGGCATGGCCGCCATCAGTTGTTGCCAATAAATATACGTCTATCCAAGCAGAGTTTCTCGAGTTAATTTATCAATACAGACGTTACAGTGTGCACTACCAAAGACAATTTGTATATGTAACTAAAAATGAACTAAACACCGAATCAATCATATTACATTAGAATAGTATAATTTAAAGTATAATTATAAGTCATTTCAAGTTGGCGAATATGAAATAGTTAAACGTTGAACTTTCGTAAAGAGCACTGTTATAGAGTCAATACATAGCTAATTACAAGATTGTGTCTGATTGGCTATCGAGCTCTAAAACTTAACAGTTAGACCAATCAAAAACAGCTTGTTTGCGGGAACGTTTTTGCCTTTTAACTTGTTTGGGTTTCAAAAAACCGCAAAGAAATTATGGGCCGTATACGTATTTGTTAATATTTACTGCGACAAAACGATATCAGACCAAAACAATATTTTGCAAAACAACATTTGGGACGAAACAGCATTGGGACGAAAGCGCATTGGGACGAAACAGCAGTCGGACGAAATACCTTTGGGACAAAACAACCGGAACAAAACAACACTTGGATGAAACAGCTGGAACGACACCATTGCCCATCATAATCTGTTACCACAATATACAAAATGTGCCTGGAATATCTGCCAGGATTATTTATTTGCCTTGTTATTGCAAACTAATTGGTGAGGTAACTAATTCGAATTTTGCGAATCCTCTTGTTATTGTCGATTTCCTTGTGATCAAATCATGGACAACATTTATGTTGATAAAACGAGTTTCAACTATTTTACAAGATTTAAATGTCATTGGTGTCGCCATGGTAACATAAATGTACAACAAACAAAATTCGATTCGATAGTATGTTTTACATCGGTTAGCAATAAACAGGCTACCTGCTCCTGCCATTTCTTATGATGTTTTTCATACGTTATTAAACTATATCATGGGTGCCGTTCACCTCCATTTTACGTTACCATGAACACAAGTTTGAACGCAGTATTTTTGATAAATTGTTGCATCTAACTTCAAGGCAGCACATATGCCAATAATTGTGGGATTTTACCAAAATATGGTATCTAAAAATAGCGGTACATGTATCAACATAGAATAGAAAAAAAACATGCAATAGCTGATTCACTTTTGGATCATTTTATTATGTCAATCTCCTGAATAATGGTGTGTGTCAACCTGAACTGTATCTCATATTTAAGGTTTGGTAAATGCGTCATAGAAAGTTCCATAATACGACATATTTCGTTGCATTGGTGTGTGACGTTTATTATCTTATGGTGGTATTATGCGTTCTGGTATTTAATGTATGGCATGAATTCAATGTGTATATTTAACGAACTCTGTTTATTCTTAGTAATTTGTTTTTCCACCACCATGCCAGACCATATGCAAGCCATCTTGGTCTGCCATTAATGTACAAAAATCTGATCCACATTTTTGTCAATAATGTGAGGTATTACACAAATGGTATAGTATGGTTTCGCGCTTTCTTTCCAGCACAAAACAGAGTTATCAGTGATGATAAGCCATGCAGCAAGTACATTCAGCTGGGAGTTTTCATACAGTCTGAAACGAGAGTTTATACACATACACTATGTTTATTCGATTGTTTCATTTTTTAACACGCACTGTGTCATTTTATTGTGAATAATAAATCATTTCCTATCCAATTTCACTATGTGCTATGTGCTATGTTTGTATGTTTCGATTTCATGTACACATGATATAATACCACTTTCGTTCATACTATTTTCATAATATGTGATTTAAATTTAGCTGTATTTTAAATTGTGGTTTATTTTCTTATTCATGTGTTAATTGTGATTATTTTTTTATCTTTACTCTTCCATGTTTTACGTTCTGCATGAGAAGAAAGCGTCCTACTCTGGGAATATCTTCGCAATAGTGGTAGGGCATCCCGGCTGGGCTTACATATACAAGCTTAAACAGGGAATACTATTTTAAAGAATAACACTATGGCACATCCTTGTCAATTGATTCACCTTCAATATGAACTGGATTCAAAACTTAAACATCGAAACATGACATGTCATCAAAGGTGCATATGAGATAATTAACCAGTGAAATCAAGACAACATGTCGTGCTGTACGTATTAACATGCGCTGTGCCATTATATTGTGATTAATCAATGTATATCGTTATCAAAATACACCCATGATACACAAATGCCCATTCTTTTTTCATGTGTCATGTTTCATGTGTCTTTCCATAAAGTAACCAAAATTCCCCTGGGGTATTTGGCCCATTTAATCCACACAGCAGGTGGTGTTTTATGCAATATCACGCGTTGTGTCATTCTGCTGTGATTATTCATGATAAACAGATGTTCACCCTCTTCCGGATTATGTCACCACCTACCAATAAACTGCCCCAGGAACATATATATTTTCATAATTTGTACACTGTGCAATTGTGCAAAGGAAGCTTGGCCACTGTATGCATTCACATATTTAAGGTATGTAATTTCACTTGCAATTTAAGTACAGTGCATTGTAGCGTAACCGGGAAGAGGTCCACATTTGTCGTGTGTTCGAACCTTGCAAATTTATATGTCCTAATGTGCTTGTAATTAATATTTGTTGAATGCATTTTTCTCTGTTGTGACACATGGATAGTCGTATAGAACTCGTACTTTTACAGTTAACAGTTATTGGTTTATATGGTAGAGCCACTTTAAACAATTTGACAACTCTTTACCAAACACGCATTTTTGTAAAACCAGACAAAATATGTGCATACGTAGTTAAACAATTTGATTGCTTACATTTATCTATGCATAACTTCCCAACCAGGCCACAATCTGATAGAAAACAACTATATATATTAAATTGGTTCCTTGTGTCAAATATTTCTGTATTTCACTATCTATCTATTCAACTCAGTAAGACATATTTACTGTATTTCATTTCGTCAAATTTCGTACATTTCTTTATGTACGACTTATACAAACATACTGTATACAATGCACTCTTATCTCCTTTTACATATCGTTTGAAGCACATTTAATTTGTAGTCAATGACATCATGAAAGATTTTGTGATAGCTTATGTCTACACCTGCACTGATTGTCTATAATTTGGAATACTGACAAGTTAATTATTTTAGCTTGCCTTGTTGATTTCACTCACTACACTTGGCTAGAATTCATAATAGTTTTAAAAATATGAGTCAAAATACCACATTATGTAATTAATTTGACATTCTTTAAACATTAAATAATCCACATTTCGATTCCATTTTTTCACAGATCTTTGATTTTCAGGATGTCGTTTTTTGTATTACGATGCTTGGTAGTTGTCTCCTCATTGACGCTGACAACATGCAGTGAGGTAATTTTATTATTTCTATTCATACTCATTCAATTTATTCATATCGTCATGGAAATACAGAAGACTATGAATATTTTAAATATATATTTTGATGTTATCCATATTTTCATTTGTACAGGATGGGCTTTCTAAATGGGTTTTCCCCAAACAAACTCGTAAGTTACACCTTTTGTTCATCTGATGTTAGTGCATGTGATATGAATACAAATTATGTACAACTTATGTTGTATTACAGTTCAAGTTAGGAGACTATTTTCATGATATATTTGCAGGAATATGTGCCCAGAATTTATCCATTTTTCGCCACAGTAATCGATACGGTTCTCTCTAAAACACATTCTTGCATGCCATATTTGTATGGCTATATACTAGTATACTGCTAATGTCATCTTTACGTAGTCTTCTGTTATGTTCTCAGGTGCTGAACAAGCATGCCCTGGTAAGTATGGCAAATATGTTTTTAGTCTCAACGTGATTGTTTAATTTGTCTGTGTTCTGTATGTATTTACACGTACTTTGTTTGCATTGTCAGCAATTGAATATACTGCCCAGGTCATGACTGAAGCCGACACACTTGTTGCTTCGATGTGCCGAGCCTCGTGTCAAGCTGGCGAAACGGAAATATGTGACTACGATGTTGGTGTCTTACCATGTGGTACGTCGGACGACAAATTGGGATGCAAGTCGTGTGCTAATAATGACGGTAGGCTATTGTCACTTAATAAACTTGATTCTTATAGCGGTTATCAGATAAAACGTTTTAGTTGCATTGATTATGATTTTGCAAAACTTAATAGAAAACAAAAATAATTTCGATTAGATAAACTTATTGTTTAACATTAACTTTATAATGTCATCAAACATGAAAATAACTGGAACACTGAAAACTGCTTGTATTCACTCGCTTCGGCATTATTTATGTTTTTTGTGAAAATTCATCCTTTCAACTGGTGAATTTATTTGTTTTAGATCTGATAAGCAAGTACCAACTGGGTTTTAATATATGCGAATGGTTTTGTCGTAAGTATTGATTATATAACTTCAAAAAATCTAGTTTTAATGTATTTAGTAAATGATGCAAAATCCCGAATATGTGGCCCTTCGCGCACATGTACCAGCATACCCACACAATCGGGTGTAGCACACGTAAAACGATTCGCTGACGTAATATAATAGAGCGCACATGTAATTTACAAAATTTGTATTTGACCAACTAACGAAGTTATTTTTTTAATTATAGACACTGAATGTAAACATTATGGAGGAACATGTAGATTTCTCAGGTGTGGCAAAAACGAGCGCTTAGGAAAAAACGCCTGTCCACTGCCATGGATATGCAAATGTTGCAAACGTAAGAATGTTTAAGACAACACAAATATAAAGATTTATCTCGAATTACTACATTATTATTTTATTTTAACAGAGCTCTGTTTAAATTATTGTGCTTATAATAACAAAATATTTGTAACAAGCACACATTAATTTACTAACAGTAATGAATTGTATCGTATTAATCTCAGATGAAAACTTCTATAACGCACCATTTTTCACCTGGAAGATTATCTTGCGGGTAGATCGAATTATTACGTGGTTCTTTCTAAATATTACTTAAATCGGTTAATAAAAACAACGCTTTATTACAGCATCATCGTCGTACATGGGGCCACCAAAATTACCCCCCAGTGCACAGGCTGATCCTCAATTCCGTACATTCGACGGCTTTCATTTCATGTATAATGGTCACAGTGATTGCGAGTACGTATTTTTTCAAGAGTGTGTGCCTCGTCCATCATTCACTGTTTTGATCAGACATCATTATCTGAAAGAAGCTATGAAAATGGTGGTTACTGAAGTTTCGATTGTTCTTAATGGGAACCGTGTAACCTTGATTGAAGACAGGCTTTATGTGAGTAGATTTCATCTCTCTTCATTGTTGTGTACACTTGTAAGATATTCATTTATATTGACTAATATATTTTTTTAAATGTACATTCTAGATAAATGGCAAAATCCATAACCTATTGGCTCCACTGATACTCGGAAATCTGACAGTGACACGAGACAATGCAGGATACCTGAGAGCAAAACTGGATTCAATATTTACATTGACATGGAACGGCAAAGGACGCGTTGCTCCTGTTCTAAACCAATCTATGTTCGGAAAAGTGTGTGGCTTGATGGGAAATGCTGACGGGGATCCGTCTAATGATATGCAGATACCGATGCCTGATGGAAAACTGAAATTAGTTACTGAGTCTGATGAATTTGGGGACAAGTGGATTGTACCAGGAAGGTAAACACACATTTACTACAGTAACTTGTAAAGTATAGATGCGTGTTCGTGAGCGATCAGAGTCTAACAATTCTGCTTTCTGTATAAATATATATTGTGTAGGCTCACACCGTGTAGGTTGCAAATCCATGCCACACTTAACACATAATATAAGCACAATTAGAAAAAATAATATTAAAAAACTAAGGTGTATTTGATTGTTTTTGTTTTTTAAATAATATTTGTGTCTGTGTTAGTTCCTTAGTTGGTAAGAGAGTTTCAGTCTTGAACAAGTTTTTTTACATTTTATTTTAAAAGTTTATGATAGAGGTAGTGTGTCTCTCAAGCGCAAACCGGTCGTTTTGATTTGTTTTCATTAATGATGCCAGAAGTGTTAAATACTCGAACAGACTTATCTATTTGGCTTACAACCTTTTTAACACATTGTTACACAATGAACTATACATACAACCAATAACCCCCTTTTTTGTGGATAAACAAGAAATCACCGTAGTGTGAAAGTTTTACAAGGAACAAAACAAAACAACGTCCTTGGAGCTATTCGAGTTTGTACTGCCCTGACCATTTGTAATTTTGTATAATAATTCGCCCGATGTACTTAGAATAGTGACTGTAATTTGTAACGCATAATAAGTTCGATTAATAATTTGTAAAGTGTTAATTATGGTAAATCATAGTGAAATATTGGCGTCGTCTTTCATAACTAAATTTTATAACTAAATTATTCAATTGAAATGCACTTTTCTGATTGTTTGAGTGTTTTGTGCATGTTCTGATTGCGGCGAGTGCCGATACTTAACAGTATCGAGCAAAGACAATTCACATAGAAACATGCAAACACCATATTTCAGTAGTGCGAGTGTCAACTAACCTGCATAGATAAATAATCTATTACTACTATTCTTAATTATTAATACTATAATTTGGGATATCAACAAATATCCAGACGAAGAGATTTGACGAACTCAGACATATCTCAATGTTAAACAATGACAATTTACTTTGTGTTCACTCCATAGTTGCAGTATATAATCCGCAAAGAGAACACCAATGTTGAGAAAATCTACAATGACATATTCGACGGTGGTGACGGGTCTTTGGTTTAAATTATTCGCATGTAAAACACGTGAAATAAGTGTATACATTATGTTTTAGTTGTAATAAAATGCCGTTACCGCAAAACTCACTATTTAATTATTAGACCTGTGTCTGTGTGTTAACATGAAACTACATTGAATTCAACCACTAAAAGTGAGCTATATCGAAATAGAACAATCATTTTAAATATGATGTTGATATTGTAAATTGAATATTAAATCACAAGCCTTAGCATAAAGTTTTTGTTAATATACAGTGCATTCTTCACCCTATACCTAATTCTAATTAATACGCAATCTACGATTCAGGGATATTTGTACAATTTCACAGCAAATTTGGTATTGAATGAAAACCAGTAGATCAACTGTCCCCGCTCCGAATGTCGTTGATAAGGAAAGAATGGGATGAAAGCAAAATTTTAATTGTAATCTTTTAAGCTGGACAAATTTGGGACTTAATGTGTAGCTATTGCTGCTTCCCAGCCATATTATACATATTTACAAAGACTTTTGTTCGTTTCTTTATTTGTTCGTTTGTTCATTTGTTCATTTGTTTATTTATTTATTTATTTATTTATTTATTTATTTATTTATTTATTTATTTATTTATTTATTTATTTATTTATTTATTTATTTATTTATTTATTTATTTATTAACTTCCTATTGTAACTTTTTTCACCTTGTATAATATGGGAAATAAAACAACAACAACAATGTAACTGTGAACTGAGGCTCTCATAGAGATTGACGGATTTTAAATAAAAACGTGACCATCAATACACCGGACTGAAATGTCTGGTGACCTAGTCAGAAGAGACCTTCCTTGAGTGAAGTTTGGGTATTTTACCGAATGGCCGATATACTCTGTGTGTTTCCAGTTCCATAAAATACAATCATGTTTCGTGTCGCTCATGTTTTAATGTGTTTGTAAATAATACCTGCATCTTCCCATGATTTGCGAGACATATTAAGTTATTAAGTCATGTCAACTCGTGCTTCTTATTCTCTTTGAGTACTTAGATAAATGCGTTGGTTATTTAACAAATTGTAAATGTCTGAAAATAACTAGTCTACGACCAGACTTGCCTCGATATATTGGCCTGTGAGGAGAGTGTTTGCATTTTTGTTTAGAATTTGAACTATTTGTGGCTCAGTTCCAAGAGCTACACCAGTATATACACATTAGCCTGTGATTATGAAGAGTAAAAATAATTTGTACGAAACAAATAATCTCTGATGAGCTCCCTGTTGTCTTGCATCAGAGGTGACAGTTTATTCAGCAGGTGTATTAGCTTTGCTACTGTTATGAACGGGAATACGAGAATACGTCTCCCGCGAACCTGACTACCAATATCTTGCACGCCAGAACGCAACAATGAAGTTCAATTAATAGCACGCAACTGTAATGTCACGCTACTTCAGCGTTCATATAGAGAAAGGTCAAGATCAGCAAACCTAGCTTTCTTGCGAAACACAGGTCTTTAAATAATGTTAGTTTCTATCTGTCCCATGTCACATATTGGACAGGCATTATCATGACACATGTGCGAGCTGCCCAGTCGACATTTGCACTGGACTGCACTGGAGCTGATCTGCAACGCACGGCACTGGTCTGGAGCTGCGTGTCAATTGACTAACTCATGTTCACGATCATCTTGCACTAGCAAGAACAAAATTATACAGCTGGGCAAGCCTCACTATCTTACTGGGCATTATCACAATACATTATTATTACAGCAAAAAATAGAATATCACAAACTACTGACAGTGACAAGCGTAGTGGAAATGTCAGTCTTGCTTACGGGGCTTCAATTGCTATCGTTCAATTTTCTAAGTTAAGTATAGTATAGAGACTCTCCAGGAAAACCTAGGTACAAAGGTGGTACCGAATCATTTGGTTCCAGAGTACCTCCAGTTTCAGGTTCATCGCCGACAATCTGGTAACACGCATCCCAATTATACTTTATCTCTAAAGGTGACATTGTCTTAGTTTGATCCTGATGTAGTAAGTAGTAACCATCCATTGCTTTGTGGAATTTATCTAACACCTCCCATAACTCTCTCTGCACTCTATAGCAAATGCCTTGAAACTACGTCGGTTTCTCGGCGGGGTTCACTACTCACTGCCCAATAAATGCACCAGAAGTTGGTGGTTGCAGCATCACTACATTGTTACAGACTAAGCACATCAAAAAACATACGTGCCAACATAGTTGCTTTTGAAATGTGTTTATCCGAGGCCTGCTTAATATTCATGGTATTAGTGTATGCCAATGTCACTGCATGCAAACATTTGTAAGTAATTGCCAACATAGCAGTATTCTGTAATGTTGCAGTGACTGAACCTAGTCCTTATTTATAATACCCAGAATAATTATTTATCTTGATTGTACTCATTAATAGAGCCAATATTCTCTGCACGATTCTGTCTGCACTCCTCATGTTGACATGCCAACCTTGCTGCAGCACGGAGAAGTATAGTTTATTTGTACCATACTTTGATAGTCATTTCATATATATGATCCATTATTTAGCATGGTAGTGCCATCGCATCCGGATCTTACCAACCCTACCAACGCGACTCTTGGGTACAGTCTGCTAGCAGGCTCCACATATGTCACTTAGTCATGATCATGCATAGCCAGCAAGTGGGATTGGGATTTTAGTGGGATTTTATCTCACAAGACCTAGTCATGGAAGTGCAGAAGAAACTGTCACCTGTCTGATCTATGTTTTATCAGCAGCACACATATATGGCCATTCCAAACTTAGGTCCTTTTGTAGTAATTCGTGCAAATATTCAGGGGTCACCACAAGGTCGTGAGTCTTTAATTCTAGTATGGTAACATTTGCTTCCTCTTGGCCTTAGACTGAGCTCCTATCCAAACGTATTTCAAGCCCGCTAGACTGATTATTTCCACTATCTTGGACGGCAGTTTGGAAATCTGGTAGCTTAGTGCAACGTTTAATGATGGTATAGTTTGTTTTAGTTTATTACTCGTCTGTTTTGAAGTCCATAATAATAATTATTGGGTATGTTTGAATTTCAGTAAATACACTTATTCAGCTGCACACAAGTTATTATTCTATACACAATTATAGATGCCTGTCCTTTCTTGAACTTGAAACTTACCTTAATACTCACGTGTTGGGTCAAATCACGGCCGTCACAGCTGATTTGATCTCAAGCAAGATGGTGTTTAACAATGCACACTACTTTTTTTTACCTTCTTAGCAATGAACACCACGCAATGATAGAAACATCTTCTGGTAGTGACATCGAGGCATCAGAAACTTTGAAGACCTGTGAGAAACTGAACACATTATGATGTGAAATGTAACAAAGCCTAGGTTGCCGACTCAAACCCAAGGTTAATACCAAACTTGGGACTAATTCGATAAATGGTCTCTGATTTCGGATTGACATTGTGTAGAAAGGCTTGGGGTAAACTAAGTGTTGACATTTAACATATGGCTCGCGAGTGTGACTGTTTATTTACACATACTTTATGTTTTACTCTTTAAGCTTGTTTTCTTATCACTCAAATGTAATTTCGTTGAGTATTATATGTGAATCGTTATCTGGTGAGATCATACCTTCTTTTGTCTGTGTTTCAGGTTCCATTGCCCACGTGTTAGTAGGGCAAAGTTTTGAAACAACCTTATCTTTGCAAATAGGCCCCACTCATTTTTTTAATTTCTTTAAAATGTAGTTCCAGACGCTGTTTCATTACCTCAAATTTAAAAAATCGCACGGGTCGTGTTTCACTTATTTTTCCATAGAGTCCAATGTATTGACTCAGTAATCCACATACAGTAACATCACGTTTATTTAGAAAAAAAAAACAATTTGTTCACATATGACTTAATAAAGTAATAGGCAATATATTCGTAAAATATAAACAAATTCCAAGGAGTCGCCTTAATACGAACCAACAACGGACAGTCCTGGACCCAATAAATATATTGTTTCTTGTACAAATTCTTGTAAGCAAAATGGCCAAATAACGAAAGAATAAAAAAACATATTTGCATTGTAAATATTTACAAAACTGGAAAGAGTACTACTTTGACCCTTTATAGTAATATACCTTCTTACGCAAAACACTGGTTGCGGTGAAATATTTAAATAGACGACTCGGAATCGGAAAATACGGCCAGACTACACTTCAAACGGATATCAGGCAATTTTAAGAGCATAACTGGGCCACCAACAAATGTACAGAATGCCAGCAAATGCATTTACACCATGCCAACTTAATTGTGTCAATGACCAACGTTGGCGGCGCCACAGTATTCCAAGAGGCACAGAGGCCGTCTTACATGAGGCCATACACAACATGCGAGGTAACGTACATTTCCTCACGTGTATGGTATAATTGCGTCGTCAAGGCAACGTCGTCTGAAAACCCGTCAAATCGGGTTTCAGGCAACTAGTTACTCGTCGCTACAGTCAGATGCCTCGATGCGTTGCGGGTTGAAAACTTTGAACCTCACAGTAAAACTATTCTAAAATTTAATATCATTTTTGATAATTGCTCGAACCTGTAAAATAAAATGACCTCTTTCACAGCTTCGGAAATTCCTTATTATGGGAAGGAATACCACTGAATTTCAAACTATATTTAGGTCTTTAAGTTAGTATTCATTTAAAGATAGATGGAACGCTCATTATATTCGACATTTACCTATAATATGCGCAATGCGCAAGACGGATTATTCGAGCGATGAGTCGTTGTTCGGGGCGTTGTCCTATGAATTGTTTCACGTAACACACAATAAACAGACGATGTAAAGCACGGGCAACAAACACCAAATAAAACGTTATGTGCATATGTGCATACGTATAGTACTTTTTGCCAGTAACAATCAAACTGAATGCATTATTGCTGTCTACTTCGTCCTTTCTTTCTCAAGCACCCTGCTCTCTTTACATCATCTTTTATGTAGTACACACTGAATGGCTGTCAGCATGACTTCAGTATATTACTATGGGAACTCCCATGCGCAGACTGATCCGTACGTAAGGCAAGCTCACATCCCTCCAGACTTATTCACACATCTATTATTCTACAACTTATCCTGTGG